TTATCAATAGTATTTACTACATTATACATACAACATACCTGTAAAATGAACTTTGACATAACCATCTTCTGGACTGGACAGGATTTCCACCGGATACAATCCTGCTTTCCACTCTTTTGATTTCAAACTGCTCTTTCTTGCCTTTGGCAATTCAACAAAGTTCAAATCTCTGCAAAAAATATTGATTTTACAATATACAAATGAAATTTTACATTTACGCTTTAGATGTACTTGGAACCTTTGGGTGGAAGAGTGTGAATGCATTAGAAAACTATTTTTAGCTTGAGATGTATAAGCATATATACATGTACAGTATACAGTAAATACCTTACTATTTTCAATCTACATGTACATTTGGCCTATATTTCATGCTACAGTACTAGTACAGTACAGTACTAGTTCAGAACCCCCCCCCTCCCATTAGTTTCACACACACAAAATGCTTTCTATTTTGCACATAAACACCTAAATCACAATACTTATTGAATAACCCATATGTTATATCACAGCACATGCATTGAAATGGACTTAATTTGATTTAACCCAAATACATTTTTTCCCGAACGAAGGAGTTCCCGCGGCTCAACTTGCACTAAGATAGTTGGTATATTTTACCGGTAACACCGGTGCAATGCAGCACTGTCTGCCTTTCGATTGTCTATTGGTACATTATGTCATTCCATTCAATCACAACCATTATTAAATACTCGTTTTTACACTTATTAGACTACTTACGAGTAAGAACTCACCGAGATCCCGTCTTTACCTTTGATTTCGGGCTTCCTTTTTGAACAGCAAGTCAAAACCGACGCCATTTTTCTTTTCTACGAGTTGAATAATTCAGGGGAGTTAACTCTGTATGTCACTACAAAATAATCTTGATATGTACTGCAAAATACCCAGAAGATCACAAGATATGTTATAGCAAATAAAAAAACGCTGTACACACATACATCTTAAACAAATGACATGGAGAATGAACCGTATACATAGAAAACGAGTTCTAAACAGTATTCAAACGTCTCAAAAGGACGGTGTTTTGGAGGATAAATATAATTACACATACGTGTACGTTTTACAACATATTTTGAAATATAATACAGAACGAATTTGCAAATGTAATATAAATAAATATAAGAAATAAGGATATATCAACAAGACAGCAATAAAAAGATATGAACATGTAGTTTGACATTTGCCGTCAAGCCCATGCTTCATTGTTTACAACGTTGCCACAATCACATGTCTAAAAGCACCTTCATTTTAAAAGAGTTCTAATGGCGATAACTTCCATTTAATAATCTAATAAATACAATATTAAGAAACAAGATACTAAGCTAAGTCTTTTAGAATGAAGGGATGTAAAACATAACACTCACGTATCAATAAAAAAAAACAATCTTCCCCTAAAGAGCTGTCATACAGCCGTCGACCTTGAGAATCAGTCTCATTGTATTTCATTTTATTCTGGAAGAGAGCTGTCACGGATGTTATGCATGGTTATCGTGTGCATGCTTTAATTTGTCTATACATTCAGTGCCTTTGCTATGTATTCAGCGATTATATCATGGGATACTTCCTTGTTTTTAAACACCACGATTGGCTATTCATACTTAAAACAGTATGCATGGGTTCACTTTTATTTCATGCCTCGGAATCCTGAAAACGTCCATGCCCCGCTGAAACACACGCTAGTTTCTGTAAATGTGATAAATAAACGGGAAGGAGTTAAGAATAAACCACTGCAAATCCATTCTAGCAATTAACGTTAATGAATATATTGATTAATATAATATTTCATCAATCGGGAGTGAGATAGAAGGAAGATGATGTAATTGGCAATCACGACTGACGCAACTCTTAATGTAATAACGGCGATAATGTAATAATTGTTACATTAAGCGTTGCGACCGTTACGCTTAATGTAATAAACTTGTCCTTATTACATTAAGAGTTGCAATTGTTACACTGAGATTAATACAAAATAAAGTATTACACTAAGCGTTGTGGTCGTATTTAAATTACACTGCGTGTCGATTACAAGACAATATTGCAATAATATACTATAATGGTGTATGTTCCCGTCTTTGATATGACACGGCTGACGGGGATCATCATAATGTGTATGCATACAAAAAGTGAGGTAACTGGCATTTTAGCCACATTAAACGCAACACTTGCCCCGCTTAATGTAATACAAATAACTTTATTACATTAAGCGTAGCCGTTGCAACGCTTATTGTAATACGTATTACATTAAACGCCGTTATTACCTTAAGAGTTGCATCACACGACGTTTGCCGAGTGTTTGCAACACTCGATTTTTCCCGAAGGTTCAGATCATATACTCACCAACAAGGGGGTAATTTTTTTCTCATCCTGGCGGCCTTCCTGACGGAGGTATCTTTTATTGTCTCGGTGATTCACATTGTTTGCTTGACGTCATAGTTATAAAACTGTTTGAACCTAAGGCGAGACTAGGAAATTTCACACCGGCAGAGAGCATGAATATATACTTATTTTCTTACCATGAACAGGTACATCTACGAACGTCGGTTAGTTCTACATGAAAAATAAAAATGTTCTCGTTATTACGAGTTAAGTTATCTCGTTATTACGACTTATGTTATCTCGTTAATACGACTTAAGCTATCCCATTATTACGAGTTAGCTTGCTATCGCTTTCCCGTTACATGAACCATTTACTTTTTATCCGTGATGCTTTCGCGTGTTTCGAGTCTTTATATAATCAATTTATTGCAAAATGGTGAAATGGAGAAAATTGTTGGTTATAAAAACTATGTTTTGATACTGACTTTCAACAATAAGGAAATCCTGGCTAACTCCCAGTATAAATATTAACCTGGTTCGTGGTATCTCCCAGTATAAATATTAATCTGGTTCGTGGTATCTCCCAGTATAAATATCAACATGGTTCGTGGTATCTCCCAGTATTAATATCAACCTGGTTCGTGGTATCTGCCAGTATAAATATTAACCTGGTTCATGGTATCTCCCAGTATAAATATCAACATGGTTCGTGGTATCTCCCAGTATAAATATTAACCTGGTTCGTGGTATCTCCCAGTATAAATATTAACCTGGTTCGTGGTATCTCTCAGTAAAAATATTAACCTGGTTCGTGGTATCTCCCAGTATAAATATTAACCGGATTCGTGGTATCTCCCAATATAAATATTAACCTGGTTCGTGGTATCTCTCAGTAAAAATATTAACATGGTTCGTGGTATCTCCCAGTATAAATATTAACCTGGTTCGTGATATCTCTCAGTATAAATATTAACCTGGTTCGTGGTACCTCCCAGTATAAATATTAACCTGGTTCGTGGTATCTCCCAGTATAAATATCAACCTGGTTCGTGGTATCTCCCAGTATAAATATTAACCTGGTTCGTGGTATCTCCCAGTATAAATATCAACCTGGTTCGTGGTATCTCCCAGTATAAATATCAACCTGGTTCGTGGTATCTCCCAGTATAAATATCAACCTGGTTCGTGGTATCTCCCAGTATAAATATCAACCTGGTTCGTGGTAACTCCCAGTATAAATATTAACCTGGTTCGTGGTATCTCCCAGTATAAATATTAACCTGGTTCGTGGTATCTCCCAGTATAAATATTAACCGGATTCGTGGTAACTCCCAGTATATCAATCTGGTTCGTGATATCTAAATAAACTCTATCCGTGGTATGTCCGAGTTGTAACTTGGTGTCCGTGTTACTACCCAACAAATGAACCAATGTACGCTTTATAAGGTTTCCTAGGGTATGTATTTTCAAAACAGTTATTGTCTTATTGAAAATCACAACATTCTTCAGAGATAAAATATCCACGTTTCAAGTAATTTTCAAAATGTGATAAAAATAACTTTATTTGCATATGTTGAGGTCGTAACGGTGTCCAATTATAGTTTACTATAAAATTGCTCTCAATGTGTTGAGGTCACTATTTTGATTGAGAGTAATATTTATATACAAGAACAAACACATCAAGTCATCTGAACATGTACACAAGTTCTTAATGTTAAAAAAAGCTTCTAAAGACACCATGTTATGAACACAACAAATTCTGGGAAATTATTTTTACTCCTATTTTCTTGAAAACCTCTTGTGAAACTATCTTCTGAATATCATGACACAAAAGGACAAAGGTTATTTCTTTTAAACATGTTAGCATTCATTTTGAAATATGTGTTTGAAAATTTTGTTTTTGTGTCATAATTTCATAACCAAGACTGAATTGTCCCTCATATAAATTAATCTTAGACTATTACAAGGTAAATTTATTTTGTATGTATTTATTTGTTACGGAAAGGAAGCAAGTAAGTTGGTAATAACATTTGTCCAATCAATTTGTCTTGTGTGCAATAAAATTGATTTTAACTAACTGCAATGTCATCCCATCAAGATATTTCTTTTCTGATGAAATTAACGTTTTTACCGTGATGTCACTTTAAAAAAGTTCTTGTCTTTTCTGCAAAATGACTATATTTGCCAATATAAAGGACATAATTCTGCTAAAAAGATTGAAAATATCTCTAAAGCCAACTCGTTTGAGCTATTCTGGGATGGAATATTTGCAAGAAGATTCATTAAAATCAGTCTATACATAAAGGTAAGAGGGCGCTTACAAGAATATTTTAAAGTACTGACAGACAGACAGTGCAATGTATGTATACCATATTACAACCATTGCCGATGAGCATTTAAAAACTAAATTATATCTCATTCACATTCTTGAAAACAGCATTATGTCATACCAATGTAAACTCTAAATTAGAAGTATCCTCACTCTTTAGTGATGTCACATTGGATATCATGTATATGATGTCACTATGGAAAACCCTCAGCCACTCCAAGCCGGGCTAGGTTATGTAATGATAACAATTTTCAATGGGTATTGTTGAACAGATGACAGATTATGTGATACATCTATCTATGCTTTCTACATGAGTAATGACAAGCTTTAAAAAAAAAACTTTAATCCACAGTTTATTCAATCTTTCTTCAGTTATAAAGATGACTCGGAAAAACACATTATTAAGATATACAATTGCCATGATCTTTAAGCCAGAAATTTCTATCAGTAATTGTGAAAATGATTTTCATGTGTTTAACTTTTCATGACTACAGATTCATCCTTTCAACACTGAATTTAAACATCTGTAAATTCAAGTGGAAAGAAAATGACATGTTCATATTTATATGATGAAAACAACATAATGGACAGTATGTAAATATGATCCTAGATTCACGGTAAATGCAACATTTGACATAATTGTGACAAAAACACTGGCTGCATACTATAATGGAGAATTTCAATACCAATATTGTATTGTAAAATGTCAAATGGACAACCGTGTTAAATGCTCAGAATTCTCTCCTGTGGTACTGATCTGGGTCAAAGTAAGAAGTGACAACAACACGATTTGAGAATTTCCTTCCTGTAAGTGCTTGCTGGGCTTTCTGACAGTCGATGATAGAATTGAATTCCACAAATATCTATAAAGACAACACAAAAATAATTATGATACATAAAGATCAATTTAATATGAAATATCAAAGTTTCTTATTTGCATTTATTGTTCCAATTAAAAGAAAATGAGACTAGTTTTTTGCAGTGATTAAGTTTGATGTGTCATTGTCTTTTCATTTTCCCCGTGGTTTCTTAAGACTTCAGTTATTAAAAATTGTCAATAATGTTAGTGGCTGGAAAAATGTTTTCATATTTCGGTGTCCAATAAAAATGCATTTTATTTGCACTTGGTCTATGTTTTCATCCTTCAATACAAGCTTCAAATATTGCTGATTTACAATCTGAATTATCTCCAGCTGCCCCATTCATATTATCTCATGAATATTAGTGTTTATAGATTTCATTCCTCCTATAAAACAAGAATGGTAACTGAAAATTCCAAGATACATCACCAGGCTTATACAATTATATGATCATGATCAACGACGCTACTTGACAGTTAAATTACCTTTCCACAGCCTGGGACTTCCACACCCTTGATAGGCCTTGGGATTTCTATACTTCGCACTATACCATATTTTCCACACTCCTCCTTTACATCTTCCAATATATCTAACAAAATGAAGATTCAAAATAAAGGCAATTGGCATCTGCAAATGCTGAAATTTCAATGATAAATTTCATTCTATGAGCAAAACAGCTATTGATAAAAAGATATTGTTAAAAGAGGACCCTTTTGTCTTCAGTATCAATAAATATTTCTTAATTATGATGTAGTTCTCTGTCATTCTTCTTTATAGTATTTACTTGAATTGCCCTCATAAATATATATAAATATACAAGTATATATACAAAAAAAAAAAAAAAAAAGACAGTTAAGTTTTATACAGATTTTTAGTTTTACATCATGTCCAGGGCAATAAGAACTAATAAAGAAAAATATCTCTAATGAACCATAAGTATATATAATGACATTGCTCTTGTTTACCTTCATACTCCTCTTCATCTTCCAATTCTTCTGGTGCGACCATGTTCATCAGACATAGCACCTCTGTGGCCGGACCAGAGCCCTGGGTCATATTCAGGCCAGGGATTTGTAGTTGTACAGGCTACAAAAATAAAATTCATTAAATTTAACCATCATCAAGAAAACATGCTCAATGCTTATGAAACAAGAACATCAAAGAGATTTTTTCATTTCTGTAGAAATCTTGTGTTTTAGATTCTAGCTTTTATAAACTAAATATCTCCCCGAAGCTACTTACTGCCTGGGCATTCTTGGCACCAACGCTGGCTCGCTGGACAATGAGTTTCTTGTCCCCAAGCTGCATACCATTCAAACCTGCACAGGCCTGTGATAAAACCAAACTATACCGTAACACAGTAATGATGACTCTCAGGCCTAAATACAAAAATGCCAAAAGCCTGTATCTGATGTCATACCTACTAATTCATTAAACAACCTTGTCCTCTAGATATTTTTTTTTCAAAACAATTTGACTTGAGTGCTGTCATAGCACGATATCTGCCCCACATATTGACTTTAATAATAACAAAGCTGTGTACAACACAATACTGAAGTATCTATTTCTGTTGACTACTCTGTTTGATAAACCTGTATTTCTCCCTTCAGATATATTTTTTTAACAGAATCATTCTCTCAAACACTTTTTTTTAGTCATCATATTGCGATAATAAATTTAGGGATTAACGAAAAATGATCCATTTTATCGAAATATCAACAGATGTGATTCAAGAAAATATTGTCATACCTGGTCTGTTATAGTGACATCCACATATTCACAAAATGCGTAGCCTTTAGATAAACCTGTAGCACTATCCTTCACTAAGTTAAATGCTTTGAGTGGTCCAAACGATGTAAGCAGTTCTTTTACCTTAAAAGGAAACAAATTTTCAATCAGTAATGACTTTCATTTCGCTTTTGTAAAATAAATTCAGTTGCATTATTTTAAAATATATACAATTTCTATCATAATTTCAAAATATCTTTTTTTTTTCATTTTTAATTTACTCGTTTCTTCTTTTGAAAAGCAAATTTAGAATGAAGGTTTAAATTTGATCCAGAAATTCATGAAAATGATAATGCAACTGAAATTTCAACCTGAAAAGCAAAAAAATCATCCTCACAATGAAAATACTTACATTGACTGGCTTTCACAACTTAAGTTCTGCCATTGAAATTTCTCAAACTCTGAACCCCCAATTCCCCTATCAAGAAATGTTGGATGGACACAAATTAAAAACATTTACTCTGGCCTATATTTGACACAGCTAAGTTTATCAAAACTTTCAATTTTTACTTATCATTCTGTGTTCATGCATCATCCCCTCCTGTCATTGCAAGCCAGCTCAACCAAGCCAGCTACAACTGTCCCTTTTAGTATACCCCCATGTTGACCCCACACACTGCATCAATCACCAACACAGTGACATTTTCACAGTGCAACAATAGGTAGACGGAGGCTGAAATCTGAGATGATACTCTCACCTAATCAATCGTAGACTTGCCTTTTGATGCTGGGATGCTAGTTTAACAATTACCGTGGGGGGTCAAGCTCTTCCCCTATGCTGAGGAACAAATGGGGGAAGAAACAAGAAAAAAGATGAGTAATGTTGATACTATGGTAACAAATGCATTCATCAGTCATTGCCTACTGTCAGAAGTTTTATAGATTTTATATTCATTTCTTTTTTTTTCATCTTTTATTTTTTTTCTGAACATATTTATTCAAAAAAAGAAATATACTATTCTTTGAAATGTAGCATTAAATGATATCTATCTAATCAAAAAACTATGAAACATTGCATTTTTAAAGTTGGAATAAAAAATAGCTGAAACAGAAACAACTGCAAAAGAAGCCTGTAAAGAATGGCACAATTTGTATCTTGGCTCTGTAAGAAAACGCCTGTAAACAGAACATACCGAAATAATTTGACATGTTTTTATTTTTGAGTTTTTGTATAAAAAAAAAAGATCAAAAATTTCTCAGGTTGAATCAACAGTTGCAAATCTGGAAGAAACCTACTGAATCTTGATATCACATCCTAACTTGATAGTTGACAATTTTCTGTATGATTTTTCAATAAAGAAATCAGAGGGGTATGGGAGAAAAAAGGAGAAAAAAAAAACCCTGAAAACATTCTGACAGCTGTAAAATGCAAAAAAAAAAAGTTATGTCCCCCTAAAATATGAAGGGGTGACAACCATCGGTAAGGTTGTCTGTTCATCTGCCTCAGACTCTGGCCTGATAAATACCCACAGCGATCTGCAATGATAATCCTGTCTAACACCTGCATACTGTTTCTCAACAGACATCCTGTAATCACAAGCATCTGGCAAGACCACTCATACAATGATTTCTCTCTTTTGTTTTTGATGAATGTGATTCGCCGTCTATTAAAATCACTGTGTACCTGGTCTTCATTTAGGTAATTGGGCAAGCCTCCTATGAAGATCTTGTGGGGTGAGTCCTGAACCACTGTAGAAACCACTCCTAAAGGCAAAATTAAAACAATTTCTGTCATTGAGGAATTACAGTTTCATTGTTATTAATTATCAACATGGTAGTCTAGCTTCACCTACAAATTCAATGTAACAGTTGTTTAACAGTACCGAAGGAATAATGAAAGAGTGCATTTATGTTTCAAGAAGCCCATTTTCATCTTGCACTGTTGAAGAAAATCTGAATTTTAGAAGTCTTGCTATTATGTTCATCTTATATCTATGTTCCATAACATCATATTGGATTAATTAGAATCAAACAAATGTTGAAATCAAATCCCAGGCTTTTTTTAGACTAAATTTCATCGAAGTTTGTGCTTACACACAAGCATAAACAAGAGATCCTTTGGAGATCTTTGCATCCACCAATGTTTGATCTTTATTTTATCTTTGAAAGTTGGATATATCCCTTCTTTTCTTTGTTTTTGCTCTTAATGGTAAGAAATTTGAAAATTGTAATAGCCATGATAATCATTACCTGCCAAATTCAAAATGGCCATCTGAAAGCCATTTTGTTTTTCTGATCAGTCCCAAAATCAAAAGGGCACAACTAGGGACCAAGGAGAATTTGAGAAAAATCCATTCAATATTTCCAAAGAAATAGTGATAACGAAAATTGTTTACGGATGGACAAGTGGACAATGTATTATGAATGTAGGGCGATTTGAAAAGCCCACTATCTGATGATGGTTAGGTAAAAAATAAAAAGAAAAACAAAATTGTTTTGACATGTCTTACCTGGAACATTAACTGTTGGTGTTTCTGCCATGCCAGGTAGGGGCTGGTAATCACGTGGTCTCCTTATCTTTAATGACTGGCCTTGGAAATTTATGCCATCAAATGCCATTGCTTGTGTTGTCTCATCTACAGAGCGAAACTGCAAATAAAATCATACAGCCTTATTTCAGATTTATAAAGGTAAGAAATAACATTATAGAATGTTTAATACTACTTTAAACTGTTCTGAAATGATATTCCCTGTAATTTGCACAATATCTGGATGTTTTGTACTTTTTAGGAACTCATTCTAATTTCTAAAACTTTTGTAAGAATCCAAATATGCCTCCTATGGTCAGTTTGGACAGGTGAAATTGATGGTAACACTTCCTGCCAAGTTGCTGAAGTATAGCACATTGGAAAACCTGAAACTGAAAGGTCATTTTGGATCATAGATTTTATGAGAGTACTTGGTAAATACACAAGTGTGCATTTGTTCATTAAAATTTCTGCTGGGGTTACAACTTTATTTCTTCATTAGGCTTATTTTTTGTTAAGACTATAACTTACACAAATATTTCATTATGTTCGGTTTGTAACAACCCAAAACTGATATGATGGTACAGATCTATAAAGAATTTTCGCACATTAAATACAATATGTCTGTTTAAATGGTAAATTGAGGTGTACAATTTTCATAAGAACATCCATAGATGATTTTGTACTGTTTTCTTCAAAAGTAACATATGAAACTCTAATTTGAGCAAAAAATTACAAAAAAAAAGAAAAGAAAAAAGAATGTAATTACTCTGTAGATTTCACTGCAGAGCTTACAGAATGAACATAATGTAATTTCACTGTCCTGTATTAAATGCTCCTGTTAGAGCAAATTGCTTTTATGTGTGCATCAAGTTTAATATACCAAAGCATACGTTGTACCTATCGTGCATGTTCAAGATGTACCAATTTTTTGACACAAACTACTGCAAGAAGATCTTAATTATATTTGTGCTGTTTTCTTGTAATAATAACATACATGGAAATCATTATGAAGTCAAAAAGCATTGTGAGTATATCACACTTTGTAAATTTGATCATTTCTTACAAAACTGCATGAAATCCAATATTGAGTGATTGGATATTACAGTTTAAAGGATTAAAACAGTAAATGGTGAGCACATCTTTAATGGAATATTTAGTACATAGTCATAGCATTCATTAAACATATACACCAGTTGTCAGTGTCACTAAATTTTGAGTTAGGAATACATATACCTAAAATGAGTTGAGTTCAACTTACCTCCAAAAACGCAAAATTTTTGTCTAGATTTATTTGAACTGCAATGACTGGACTGCCATCTGCCTGCGCAAGTCCAGTCATCTTCATCTGGTGATTGAAGAAGTCCATCATGGCTTCTTCTGTTACACCAAATGGTATATTGCCAACATACAGACGCCGGGCTTGTCGACTTATTGCACTTCCAGCAAAGGGTACTGTGGTGTTGGTTAGTGCAACATTTGGGACAGTGATTGTCTGAGGAATTTGTCCATTGCCTACACAAGCAAATAAGAATAATATTAACATAATGATATATTTACTGCAGACTGTTAAAGATTAATTAGAAGCATATATCAGAACCACTAATTCATCCAGTTATGCAATAATATTTTAAGAATAAAACAACTAAAAGAAACACCATTATATTGATGTAAATGAATATATGTCTGTAAGAATTTTTCTTGATTTCCAACAATATTTGTATGTATTGAAATACTTGACTCCACAATGGGAAATAATTCAATATTGTTGGAGAAATCTTCAAGTACAGGGTACAAACTCATACTTCTAGCCATGGTTTGGTTTCCTGTCTACTAAGAAATACTTTTAGCAAAAGGGTGGTTCCCCTTAAACAAAATCTGAGGTCCTGGGGTGAGAAAGTTGTTACTTTAATTGTTCCAATACAATACAAGACTACATGACTATTTCAAGTCGTAATGGTCACCTGGTAACCAAAATATCTGGTTTCAAATCAAACCTCTACATGTGAAGAAGTTCTAGTTCAATAGTGAGTTGTAATTATACTAGTGGTTTCACCTTTGATTTGTGCAACCTACATCTATATACAGCATACCCTGTTTATATATGCACCTGTGATTATATTTTCTCTGTAAACTTAAATATTATGATTATTTCTATGAAATAACTATTGTGTCTTCCAGAAGGGAATACTGTTTACATCTTTGATTTTATCTATATGAAGTTAGGCTCTAAATTCTTACACTGTAAAAGCTTTACAGAAGGGGAAAAATTCTTAATATTGATGAAGTTTTTTAAGCAACTTGTTAACATCAATTTATTTTTAAAGAGTGTTTCAAAACTACAATTTGTAATTAATCAAGCAATATGGAAATGAAATACTCAAGAATCTGAATGTAACTGTCGGGACAAAATGCGCAATATTTTTCTTGTTTGAACTATATTTTTTGGCAATCATTTGTTAGGAAAAAGGGAAAAGAAGTCATTTGGAATTCAAAATTCATTCATCTAGTCTTGAATTTCAATGATGCTTGATTTTTGCAAGCAGACTCTAAAAAGGAAAAAACAATGAAAAGAGATCTAGAAAAAACAAGGCTAACATTTGACTGCAAGACTGGGTACCTTTCAGCTTCTTTCGAGTACATTTAAAAACAATCCCTGATAAGATACAGACCACTACCTTGCATGCTTTTGTACTGCATTGGAGTCATGTGTTCAAATCCTGCAGGTGGAACATCCCAATACTTATATGGTTTCTTCCGTCTGCGTATGGGCCTTTCTTTAGGAGAACGACTGTACAAAAAACATGTAACTGTTACTTAAACAGTGTCATACAGTTTTAAAGTTACAATATATAGAGCCTAAGGTACTAACTGTAGCCTAAAACATACATGTATTGATTAAAATAACATAACCTTATACCTATCAAGCAATATAACACATTACTGGTATATTAAGCCCTCTCATATGAAGATATTAAATATATATATCTATACATGTTCAGTAGAATTACAAACATAATATTTATGTCTACCCTACTTTGAGCCAAAATTTCGGTGTTTGCTAGCCAAACTTACTCCATAATGTACATGGTCAATCTGGATCTAGCTTATTTAATCCAGCTTCAATTTCTCTTCAGAGTTTATTTTCATAATTGTTTTTCAAATAAAACAACAAAGATATATGAACAGATTAATAATGAAATTAGTAAATGGACAAAAACTGACAATTTTCCCCACAAGAACTGATCTTCCAGTAAGGATATCTCATCACATTTTCTGGTCTTTGTTATTCACCTGCGAGATCGTTTCTTTCTGTCCCGAGATCTTGACCTTTTCCTGTCACTTTTTTTGTTTGAGCTGCCTCTTGACCTTGAGCCTGAACGTGAGCGTCTCCTGCCGCTTGACTTTTCTTTTTCAAATTCTATAAAAGATGAAAAAAAATTTTTTTAAGGAGACACAAATTTCTCTTTGACAACATAGTATATGTATATTATACACAGAAATATAAATTGTTTATACAAATGTTACACTCGAAACAACAAATTTCAAAAGGGTAATCTATATTTATATAGCTACAATTGCAGACCTATCTACTTTAGTAACAGTACTAACAGTTAAAAGTAAATACCACTGGAATGTTTCCTTTCGTTATTATGGTAATGTTTAAGCAAAAAACACAATACACTAGAACTAATGCATTTTTTCCAAATTGAATACCAAATTCCTAAGTTTATGTCAATCAATAAAAAGTAAATAAGCTCCATTTTGTTGTTATGTAACATTGTAAATCAGTCAAATCTGAAATGCTCAAAATAACTCAAATAGGATATTTTTACTCCTTTGATAGCAGTTATAATTTTCACTAAGTGAGATTGAATCATTATCTCAATGGCATATTTCCATTGCTGTTTTCTATAGTTTAAAATATTTCTGGGGTTGCAGATGCCCTAAAATTCAATAATTCAAAAGACATATTTGTATTTTTCATAAGATTATGGAACAACATGATGTCAGTTATGTTGAGGCAGTGCAGTGGATGGATAATCAGTAAGCAGTGACAGATCTATATGAGAGTCCTGTACTCATAGAATTTTGATGGGACAATTTCTGCAAATTCTTGAATTCTACATTGTGATAACTGTGAATTTTAGCAATAAGTTAAGTTGATAAGGACCTGTGAAAATAAATTCTAGATAGACAAAGGGAGACTACTTCAGTATTCTTAATATTTCATCAAAGACTTTGGTATAAATCTAAGCGAAAGTCAAAGATTTCATTAATCCTTTTGTCAATTATTTTTCAAGGCTGCGATGGGTTTTGTATGGGAAGGGGTAAACCATGAAAAGGATCGTAAAAGGAGTTAGATATGATGAAAAGGAGTAGTTTGAGAGATTTTCTCCTCAAAAAGGACCATTACATTACTGATTTAGCACATAAATAATACATCCAACATATATCAACGGTGAACATTGATTTTTTAAAATGTAAAATGGTTTTGTTTTCCACTCGGTCACATCATACACAGATAGCGACGCTGCGTCCATCGACAAAAAAACATCATTAATGGGAAAATGGAGCAGATTGATAACGCATTTTCGAAGGATACTATCTATATGTATTTCATAACCATGTTTGAAATATACAAATGAAATTTCATCTATTTCTTATGATTCTCGACTTACAAATCAACAGTCTGAAAGTCGATATCTTATTCGGAATTCCTTCGCTGCAACCGAAAACAGACCCAAAAAGTACTGTTTATTGCTGAAAATGACTGCTATACAATATCCCAAAACAAAGAAGGACATTCTTCTGTACTTTTGGATATTGCCAATTTATTTGTTATACAAATTATTGACTTTAAAATGATAAAGAACTGTCTTGTGGGCTTCATCTCTCCATCATAATTCTGAAGGCGGTGACAAAAATTAGAACTGGATACCAGAAAGCCGGATTTGGTTAACTTAATTTTGGTTTCTTCTATTGAGGATGTACATATACATACCACACATAATTATTTTTAATCACTTTTTCTAAATTTTATATTACTGAAACTTCATTTTCAGAACCAAGATTTACATGAATTACTATATTGTCCTCAATGTATTATTGTTTAATTTCCACCTGATCATTCTCTTTAATATCCATGCATGTGGTGTATGCAAATTTTATCAAACAAACTAAGAAGGGATGATGTTGAAACGTTGCCAAAAATTGCTTCAGAATTGGTCAACAGATAAAACTAGTCAAGCATCAATTACACTGTATGATGATAGCATTTGCTGTCCACTGATATTTTGTAAATTGATTGTTTTCCCCAATAACTGTAACAATAACTAAAGAAAAAAAATTAAATTAAATTTTACTTCTCTGATGATGCAATAGAAAATGTCTATGTGTATGTATTTACCTTCTGATAATGGATATTATCTTTGTAAAGGATAGGACTGACCTGCAGGGATCTGAGGGGCAGGGCCAAAAGGGCGGAGTTTGGCTATATTGAAATGGCTTTTCCAGAACAAGGCATTGATAATATGAAACACAATGATTCTATTAAGAAAAGCAAAGAATATGTATTTACACGTATGATATTCATTTTAGCACTTTCTGTGTTTTTGCATCAATATCTTAATAATACCAACCTTTTTGGTGCCATATTTTATCTTTTGCTACATTTCAAATATTACTATTTGTCATTATATATATGATATATATATAGCACTGATTATAAATTATGTTTATGTAACAGGGCTCTTGGTCTGCCAGATTCTGGGCCGATATTCGGCCCCATTCCCAATGCAAAATAGTATCTTTTTTCCCAATTTAGACCCCAAGTTTTCCCAATTCTAAGGAAAACGCTGCTATGTTTCCCAATTCTAAGGGCCCCGGGCCCCAGTCCCAAAATGGGGTGTGAGAGCCCTGTGTAAACAAGTATCTGTATAAATAAATTAGAAATGCACTTTGATATCGTCACTGAATTATTGGCAACAGTATTGACAATAAAAAATAAAAGCAGAACACTGTTTTATATAAATATGTACAATTCAGATATGGATCTTCCAACAACTGTGTGTATCATTTGAGTATAAACAAATAAAAATATCACATTAACAATATATGTAGATACATAATGATAAATCATTATTGGTTTGTAACTTACCCATTTTACATTATCTTATCAATTACAATGTAGAAAGCAATAGCTACACATGATGTTCCATATAGTTTTATTGTGTACCCAGGACTTGGGAGCGTGGTCCCTGCTTTCATTAGTCCCATATTTTACATTATTTACAGTAAAACATTTTAATGACGTAATATCACTGCATTAATTCAAAGAAAAATTTGTAACAAGTTTTCATAAACCTTGTGATGAGGTACTTAAACTGTTCAAAATTGCCCATTTTGTTCTTAATTCAGATTGAAGATTGATGTAAGATTCATTAAGAAAATAAGAACCATCTACTTATTCCTTTCAGCTGATAGTGATTTGATAAACAGAGGTAAACATATATATTTTCAGGCCTGCTTTAGTTGAATTTTTAATTAAGATACATGTGACAATGAATATGGACTACTATAATTTACATACACAATCTATCATTTATAATGGGTCTTAAACATCAATATATGTGAATAAATATGACTGGCACTGATGACTGTAATAAATATAAGCTATTATTATTTACAACAGAAGAGCCCTACTGTCTCCAGACAGCACTCTAGGTATGAGTCTGAGTCTCATCTGATTGAACCCACATTATGAATACAGATGTCTGGTTAAGATGACACACATTTCACATTTTCCTCTTCTTTGGTATTGTTGTCCTCTGTCTTACCTCTTTTCAGCTGATTAGGTTTCTTTGTTTCTATGTGATGACCTGATCTCTTACAGCCATATATCATGAATGTGTATATTGTTATATCGTAATTGTACACATGTACTGTAACATGTTATTAAGCTTACTATTTAACATACCTTAACTTTCAGCGGAGGAGCAAAAATGTTTTGATTTTTATTCAGTAAATTATATATGAACTTCTTAGATACTTAAATCAGGGGCAAAACTAAAAGCAATGACAAATCAAAATGTTAACTTGAAAAAATGACATTGAGACTTTTCAAAACAAGTTTAATAAATACAATTTACCACAAAAAATTTTGTATCATGTTATTCTATTGAGAAAAAAATGACTTTTATCGTGTCCATGTCTTCAACAATCATTGAACAGTTTGCTATGAGGATATTCCTTTAGAAAAGTCAATGGCACTTCTTTCTATTGATTTTTTTAATTACAATAAATTTGGTTTATGACAGTTAATTCAATGTTTAAATGAAGCATTTACATCCACTAACAAATTGTTTAAGTAAATGTTAATTTTCTTTCTGAAGTTTCTCTCAATAGTTGTTTTAAACGATGAACAGCTCTTTATAGGCACAGAAATTATTGTCAAAAGCTGGTTGCAAACAGTTAAACAACTGAATTGTGCAAGATTATTGTATGCATTTATTTCTTTGTGAATTGTTAAAATGTTGGAAAACATGGAAATAAAAAGTGTTTATCTTATACATTTTTTTATTCATAATGCCTTTATGTTCATCCAGACTTTCTTGGTCCGGTTCCGTTTCTGTGTTTTAATTACTCTCGCCCGCACAGCGAAACCGGTCTGTAGGATGCTAAATTAACATGTTTATGATCAATACAAAGTATATTTATTATTATTAACAAGCGATACAGATTTTATGCTAACTAAATGTAATAACAGCACATTGTGGCAGTCTCCTTTATGACAATTACCATCCCTTTTCCTGGCACGATAGATGGAGCAAATCCGATCCTCTGCCGTAGGACATTGTTATGACTCTAAAAAAGTCGAAAATTAAACCTGTGCAATATGGAATTTCGTTGTAACTTTAAATATGTGCCCTGTGTAATGTAATAAAAGGGAAACAATGTCCTTTTCGTGGGGAAACGCCCTTAAAGTACTCCTTTTCGTCATATCTAACTCCTTTTCGGGGTTTACTACTAACGGTTTTGCATTAACTTAATGTTCACTGCACCGCATCTTCTTCAAACTTATTTTGCAACAGTTATATCACTCTTACAAGTTTTTTGCCTAATCCAAATGATGACAGAAATCTTCTCTGCTAAAACACATCCAGTAGCTGGTTTCAAAATAGAATTTAATGGTAAATATAGGAAAGTATTTTCCTTGTCGCGGAGAGCTCCCTCTAGTCTAAAGTTTCCCCTTTTCAACATGGACTCCATTTTGGTTTTCAATATCGACCACGCATGGTACGGTTGACCCTGGCCAGATTCAAAGGACTTCACATGATATTCAGTAATCTGAATAACAGCCACCACACCTGACCTACTCCAGACATGAGAAACATACGTAGCCAACGGTCTGAAACACCGAAGCACCTTACAAGATTCAAGACAAAAGCCTTACAAATGAAAATATTTGAAACAACCGAACAAAAACGTTATTAACATCGCTTATTTTAACAAATAAAACATTTATGTGTACATGATTGCAAGGAATGGGTATTGAAATCAATATTACCATTTTTGTTTTCTGCTAACTGTCGCTCAAAATCGTCGAATTCATCACTCATCTTGTTGTAAGTACACGCACCGGTTCAAAATGGCGTCTCGTTATAATTACAATTAACTGCCCTTGATTCGCCAACGGCCGCTAGGGCAGATTATAGAGAGATTATCTCCCTTTATCCAGTTTTGCACAGAATTATAAGTGAATCGACTAGTATTCGCAAGACCATAATAAAGTACATTAACTTAATGAGGCACTAATGCGAAATACAAGGGGAAAGTAGACTATTTAACTTTTAAGCAGTTGGTACAATCATCGTTAAACAAACAAAATCAAAACAATACGATCATCGCGTCGCGTTTTTATTCGACCTTTTTGGGTTTTGAAAAAAGTTAGAATGAATACGTGAAAATGAAAGTAATGGCAATAGCTAAAAAGATAAAAAAAAATTTAAAGTGAGGAATGATATATATAATGTAAGCTATTTACATAATTAATTTTTTGGACGAGATGTCTCATATTTTGGATTCTGTTCTAAATTTCCAGGTAAACCCGAATAAATCAACTCTAGTGTACCTCTGACATCTGTAAATGCAGAGAGAAAATCCAAGATATGATGAGTCGATGTATTACCATTAAAAGATTTACGTTACATTAGTAAAGTAGCAAACGTGGATGATTGGTAGCGCAGTGGTAAATCACTCGCCTTTTTACTTAAAATAAATAAAGTTGATATTACTATTATACGGAAGCGTATTCCGGCCACGTTGTGTTTTATTTATCTCGAAATTTCGAGATAACAACTATCCGAAATTTTGAGATATTAACCCGAAATTCCGAGATAGCAACTATTCCCCATTACCACAAATCTGGATTTCACCATTTGGAGAATGACACTGTTGTTTTAGCAAATAATCAGACAATATCTATTACAGGAACTGCTTGTATCAAGATATGTGTAGAGGGAGCAATACATAACATACCTGTCCATATTCTACCGCATACCTCTCACCCGCTTATTCTTGGGATTCAATATTTACGGGATAAAGGAGTTGTTCTGAACCTTTCTGACCAGACATGCACATTTGGCACTACTACCGTGAAATGTTCTCGAAGAACTGTTATTCCCGCAAATACAGAGGTAGTGATTTGGGGAACACTTCCGAACTTAGAGATGTCCTTTTATGGTTCTCAATGTGATTGCTGTAGTAGCAGGTATTGTCAGCTTCTAGTGGCCAAGACACTTGTTACTGTATCCCATGACAATATGGTACCTATCAAAAATTTGAACTCTACATCTACATCTAAAACGATTCTATCAGGGAAACCTATTACGGAATTCGAACACACAACAGCCCAATGCGAAACCGAAACATCAGCGGCCTTATCGATTACCACCAGACAAAAGAGAAGTTCTCGGACTTGATGAACATCTTCGCCAATGAATCATTTCTCAGGTAGATGAATCAGAAAAGATCCTGATCACTAGTCCTGTTGTTCTTGTTTCGAAAAGGGCTAGATCCAAACCTACAAGTTACTAAGGAATCCAGTCTTTCCGAGTTCTGGTTCTGTGCTGATTTCCGCTATTTAAACTCACAGACCCAGACATTTCAATATGAGATTCCCAACCTCAATGCGCTGACAGAATCCTTCTCTGACAAAACTCCTCAATACTTCACTTCGATCGATCTCTCTTCAGGATCTTCCAAACGCCTATTGATTCGGACAACGCCAGACTCACAGCATTCAATACATGCTATGGTATATATAGGTTCTAGAGACTACCGATGGGTTTAAGCTCAGCTCCAAGTACCTTTCAGCTGTTGATGGACAAAGTGCTCCGCGGCTGTACCTTTAAATCTTGTCTGTGCTATTTGGATGATATTCTTATCGCATCATCTACTGTTTCACAACACTTGGAAGACCTTGATGGTTACAACTAGGTCCTAGGAAATGCTCCTTCGCTCAAGAATCATGTATTTTTCTCGGTCACCTAATATCGAAGGACGGTATTTCACCGCCACTTGACCGGGTTATGGCTGTATTCCGAGTTAGTAATCCGAAATTTTGAGTTACTAAGTCGAACCCGAAATTTCGAGATAGTAACTCGAAATTTTGACTTACTAACTCAAAATTTTGGATTACTAACTCAAAATTTCGAGTTGCTATCCTCGGATTACTCACTCGATATTTCGTGTTAGAATAAAACACAATCAGGCCGGAATACGCTTCCAAAAGCTACAAATATATTTCAAAAACATTCCATTTAGGGCCTTGTACGTTACATATCGCACGTATACATGTAGGATATGAATTTCTTTGTACAGTATATTTTAGTGCACTAAATTAGCCGCCGGGAATGGTTACGGATGCATGACATTACTGCATGTGTAACGTGCAGCCTAGCTTTGCACACGGTGGGTAAGTCTCTGATTCCTTGCAGAGATACTAGCTAACAAATGCCGATATATACATATAGCGTGGAACAGCAAACTCTACCTGAGTTAACAATAAAACTAACGAACGAACTAGTATTCACATGGACTGCTGTCCCGACACAGACTGTTCTGACTAGCATGTGAGCGTGAGTGCAAGCTCGACACCCAGTGACTTCACCTAACCCTAGTTCCAACTACTGAACTAGTCGCCGAGCAATACCACTTAGTCGGTCCTGACTAAGCACTAGGTTGTCCTACCAACTAAGTCAACCCTTGCTCGTGTTCCTAGCTCGGGTTCTAACCTCACCCTATAGCTAGCTACCCACAGTCAAAAGTCCAAGCTTCGGTGAGAACTAAACAGCTCTCGCACCAGCTTGACAAGCGGTTTCGGAAAAGCCACTATTTCAGACTTTCACCCACCACCTGTTGCAAATGACTGCGTTACTTGCTTAGTAAGAAGTCTTTCGTCGTCTGTGTATCTCTGAAAGCTTTACCAACAGTCAGTATAACAGCGCTCGCAATAATTCAAAGTAATTTCTATTTACATGTCTAATAAACTCTTTCATTAGGTGTGACAATTGTTGATATTTGATTTACCATAAATGATGCATACTAAACTATTAACATAGTACAAAATACCTTTCCATATCTTACTACATAAATATAAACATTTGTATTAATCGACAAAAATCATTAGATGACCAAATTAACCAATATGTAATTAGCTATAATCATATTCAAGGGACATAAATCTTATACTTCAATTTCCATTACACAAGTCATATTCAAGGGACATAACTCTTATACTTCAATTTTCATTACATTACCCACGCCTCCGACTTATGCGTCCCGCATAACGATCATTAACAAATTATTTTCATTCATTTTTTTCTTCTTTTTTTATTATTATTATTTTTTTTAACAACCGATACAAAACAACAACTTGATCATGAAATACAGTCAACAATAATCCTGTTTTACGAAAGATATAGTGTCCCAAATTCTGCACCCAGCAGGTATGGACATATTATATGATAATCTGTCCGTCCACCTCCTTTACCTTCCTGTCACCATCTCTGTATGTGACAATTTTTCTAATCACTCTCTTACAAGTGTAGGGTCCCTCGGTCTGTACACCTATATCGCACAACCGCTTAGCAGATGGACCAGACAACTTGGGCTCCGGTTCCATTGCTTTAGCACAAGGTCATGACATAGTCACCGAACTTTGATGGTTTGCGTTTAAGTCTTTTTGGACGACCCATGCAAAAATCATGCTCGTCCTCGCTTTCAGTAGCATCACTAAATGATTCTGCAGACTCGGTATCGGAGCAACATTCATATTTATCAGAAAGAGGTTCGTCAAGGTCTGATCTTTCATGGGATAGTAGCTGGCTTTTCTTTAAGCGCATGCGGTCAACGTGAATGACTTGTGGCTGATTCTTTTGGCCACAATTGACCTTGTAGTTCACGTCATTGATTTTCTCGATAACATCGAATGGCCCTTTCCAATACGATGCAAATTTCGGCGATTGTCCGGCTTCTTTCCTCGGAAAGAATACGTAAACTCGATCTCCTAGCTCAAATGATTGCCAGTACAATTTCCGATCGTGATACTTTTTCTGCCGTTGCATAGCATTTTGTGTGCTTTCTCGGACAAGCGCGTGTGTCTTTTCCATTCGTTCTTGGAGGACCCACACCCAGTCATTTTGAGGTATGCTTTTTATTGGGACTGGCATCTCGTACATCAGATCAAGAGGAGTGCTGACCTCTCGGCCCAACATCAGACTGTTCGGTGTGCAACCCGTGCTTTCATGTTCGACAGACCGATAGGCCATCATAACATATGGAAGCTGCACGTCCCAGTCTGTGTGTGACTCGTTCACGTAAGCGCTCAGCATGGTAGCGAGTGATCTATTAAAACGCTCGACCATCCCGTCCGATTGCGGGTGGTACGGTGTCGTGCGAGTCTTGTTGATACCCAAAAGTCGACACATCTCAGTAAAGAATTTTCCTTCAAACTGACCTCCTTGGTCGGAGTGTTTAGAATTTGGTACTCCATACCTTGCTACAATTTCCTCAACTATGAGCTTTGCAACTGTAACAGATTCCATGTTGCGCATAGGGAAGGCTTCTGTCCATCTGGTGTAGTAGTCGGACACAACCAAAATATACCGATTGCCTTGCCTTGTCATCGGAAGTTCGCCAAGGATGTCTGTCGCGATTCGTTCCATCGGATACCCAACCTGTATCAGTTGCATAGGAGCACGCTTTGTCTTTTGAGGATTCTTTCTACGGCAACACTTATCACAACCGGCAATGTAGCGTTGGACGTCTTGTTGTATCCCCGGCCAGTAGTAACTCTGTCTTATCTTAGATAGAGTTTTTGTTACCCCTAGATGACCGGCTGTTCGACTGTCGTGACACTGCTGAAGTACCTTCACCCGTTCCTTACTAGGAACCACGGCCTGGATCTTTGCCTCTTTGTTCCCAGTGCAGGTCCATTTCCGACACAACACACCATTCTCTATTACTAGAGAACTCCACGGATTGTACAGTGATTTGGCAAAGGCATTATTTGTGCTGATTTCCGCATAACTTGGTTGAGTTCCAGTTTCAACTGTTTGCATTACTTCTGACAAATCAGGATCCTCTTTT